GTAACTTTCAGTGTCACTTTACATCTACCTATTTCACTTACAAACACACAACCCAGTGTGTAACTTTCATTGTCACTTTACATCTACCTATTTCTACTCAGAAAACATACAACCCTGTGTGTAGTTTTCAGTGTCACTTTACATCTACCTATTTCACTCAGAAAACATACAACCCTGTGTGTAACTTTCAGTGTCAGTTTACATCTACCTATTTCACTCAGAAAACATACAACCCTGTGTGTAGCTTTCAGTGTCACTTTACATCTACCTATTTCACTCAGAAAACATACAACCCTGTGTGTAACTTTCAGTGTCACTTTACATCTACCTATTTCACTCAGAAAACATACAACCCTGTGTGTAACTTTCAGTGTCACTTTACATCTACCTATTTCACTCACAAAACTTATAATCTTGTGCGTAATCTCCACTCTTAACTCCGAACTTACTCTTTGTAAAGAACGTTCATTTATCATTATTATTCTATGCTGTATATTCCTTGAAGAATAACTCACTTTTATTAACCAAGATATTTCAACCATCAAATTTCTTGAACCACTATAATATTACCCTATCAGGAACAAACGTTCTCTTCTCTGTACCAACGCAGAGACTTGGGGGAAAAAACTGTTTCATCAATCAATTGCTTAAATCTGACAATCTACTTATTAGAAACACAGGAGTTAATTACAGCCTTTAGTCTTCCCATGAGAAATTGTTTTTATACGCAGAGTTTTACTTCACAATGGTAAAAAATATAAAGGACAGATAAGAAACACATCTTGCTTTTCCAAAGTATTCCAAGTTTCGTAGCTTAGATGGTAGGCGGATAATGAATAAATTGAACGTACATTGAATAAATCTCAATATATATAATCCTTATATTCAGTATATTACACGTTTATTCTTGCCGCTTCTACTCTTACAGAACAATGTTTCCCTAAAATCGATAGTTACCATCGATATTTGATCAACTAAAACGTCACACAAATTGAGCTGGCTCACTCTCTGTCTTTATATATATAGATAAAATTTGTTTATTAATTTCTTTGCAGTGAGATGCAATTTAAAAAATACATTCGCACATTCAACAATTTATTTATTTTTTACTAGCTGTGCATGTTTGTTTCAATGTGCAGTGGTTTCTCTCCTACTTACCAATAAATGTACTGTTAAAAATTATTGGTGTGTGTGTAATTATTTTTGTTGATAGTTTGCATTTTTATGCAAGTAGAACAATGCTTACTAAACTGAAACTAATATTTTAATATCCAACGCACAATTTAGAGATAACTGTTGGATAAGTCACATATAGGACATGTCATCATTACCTTCGAGTTCAGTACGTATTTTAGTGATACACTAGGTTAACACGTATTCATTAAAATTTTTATGATATTTTTATGTTTGTAGTCTTTATAAATTAAGATGTGTGACTTACATATATAAACTGAGTTCTTTACTGGTATGTTAAGCCTTTCTGAATTACAGTAACCATTTTGTTACGATTCTTCATACCGTATAAACCTTAACTAGTTATATGAAACTATACAAATAATCCCTCAACTTGTAGCTACTGGGTAATTTACCTGTTGTCATGCCCAAATATAGGAGTGTTTTTTATTAAGTTTTATTATTCTGTCACGAAACCTAATTCAACATTATTTCGAAATTTATTCAAGTATTATTAATGTCATGCTAATAATAGATTAAAATACGATAATAGGGGATATAATAAATGTATGGTAACCTTTGGAAAAATACATGTCACCGAGTGGCATAGCGGTAAGTCTGTAGGCTTACAACGCTAGAAACCGGGTTTCGATACCCGTGGTGAGCAGAGCACAGATTGCTCATTGTGTAGCTTTGTACATAAATTCAAACAGACAAAACAAGCGTTGAAATGTGGTTTTTATATCTAAATAAAAGGTTTGACAAATCAGCATTAATGGCCTGTAAAAGATAACATTAGAAACTCTACTTTAATTTGTTATTTATTATTTATTTGTTTTAATATCGATGTTTGTTTAAAGTAAATTTACATTTAGAAATGTACATAACGTATACTGTTAAATATGTATTGCGAAACTCCCGCTTATTGTCTAAAATTGTAGAAGATTCTCGAGTGTAAGAATCAACAATATATGTGTGTACGTAAACGCTAGTTTTAGCGTTTGTACTGTTACGTAATCTGAATTTTCGAGAAACTCTCCACACGCCTATAAGAATAACCAACGCTACGCGCCTGAAAACAGTATCTATTATTGGTTTGCTATAAACTTCGGAAGCTATAACTGTGATTGT